AGCAATGTTCTTTTAGATGATGACCTTGTTGCCCATGTAGGTGATTTTGGATTAGCAAGAATCCTTTTAGCAACTACAGATGAAAAGGCTGACATTCAAAGTAGTCTGGCTGGAATAAGAGGAACACTGGGCTACATACCTCCATGGTAGTAATTGTTTCTGTAGCTTCTTACCTATAAACATTCTAGCTTTCATGATCATAATAGAAGTCTTAAATTAGCGTCACAAAGCTATATCATTAAAATATATATAATTATATATACTATAAGAGCTAAGTTGTTTAAAACTGCAGAATATGGCATGTGGGAGGAGATATCACCAGAAGGTGATGTGTATAGCTATGGAATTCTCATACTGGAGATGTTTACTGAAAAAAGACCAACAGACAGCATGTTTACTGACAACATCAGCCTTCACAATTATGTTAAAATGGCCCTTCCCGACCAGCTGAAGATGATCATCGATCCCTCACTCATGACCAACCAAACAAGATTGCGAGAGGGGGACATTTATGCAGTGCAGGAGCTTCTGGCATCAATCTTTAGAACTGGAGTAATTTGTTCTTCTGAAATGCCCCAAGAAAGAATGAATATTAAAGATGCCCTCAGGGAGCTGCATTTGATCAAGGACAGATTTCTTGCTCAAGGAACAAGGGGGCAAAGAGGAAGCATGGCTTAAAACTAAACAAGATTATAAGGCGATGTTGCATATTTCTTTGCTTATCTCTGTATTGTAACTAGTGACTTCAGTTGTTTCAAAAGAAGGTTAGAAGGGGCTGTTGTTTATTTCTGTCATCAGTTTATTGATATTATTTACTTGTTTACCATTATTGTTTAAGGATGGCAATTTCGCTGATCCAACGGAAATCATCATTGATGCAACAGTGGGAAAAATTTCCTAAGAAATTTTACGAGAAAATTACTCAGCATACTGGGTTTGTCAGCAATCATTCCGTCTTGTGAAGCAAAAAAAAAAAAAACTTCTTTTTTCTTAGTTGTGATAATTTGAATTTGGCCTGGATTTTCTTTTTTCCTGTCAAATTTTTATAGGTTTTAGTCTTTTAGCTGTAATTTTCATGTTTTTTATCGCTTATTTATACCGTTTGAAAGAAATGAAAAAAATTTCCCGTTAGTAATCCACGTTCTAGTTAATTAATTAATTGATATCATAGAATTTTAGTTAAAATTTTAAATTAACAAAATATCAATTTATTTAAATTCTTGTTAGTTCTGATAACATGTTTTGTTGTAAGAACTTTTTTTTTTAAATTTCTTTTTACAAAATTATTTATATATTTATATATTTTAATATATTATAACCAAAAAATGTTAAAATGATATTTTTAATTTCTATATAATATCACTTAACAATTTTCTCACTAACTTTTTTTTTTAATCAATTTCTAACATAATTTTAAAAAATTAATAATTTAATAAAAGTTTAAAAAATCTTTATTACAAAATTTATTAATTTTTTATAAAATACTTTTCAACTTTCTAGTATAATACTTTTTTGTTTTATTATTATTATTATTTTTTGATAAAATTGGTCTCCCAAGGATGTCGTAGAGGTTTGTGGACTCACTCGTCCCTGCAAGCCCGCTACCATCATTATCTGTTTTGACTTAGAGAGTTGAGACGGCGAAAAAATGACTTGGGTCACATGGCTAATCACACTATAGTATGAGGCCTCTAAGTCGGACTAGGCCGGCCTGCAAGACCAAAGGGCAAGAGGCCTCGAAGTCCCTTCGGCTCGCGCCGCGATTGCTTGCGTCGTGGGGGTCGTTAGGCACAGGACAGGAGGCAACTTCCCAATATCTTTGGACATCACCGTTCTTCCTTCCCCATCTTCTCCCCTCTTTCTTACGGCTTATACCTGTAAAAAGCCCTTAACCTTTAC